TTCTTCTTTTGTTGTGCGATGCCTCTGAACTTTTGGGCTTCAACATCCATCAATTATTTGTAGTCCTCTTAACATTCCAACGGCTGTGATATCTTTTCCCCGTCTCTTTAATGCAGAAACCTAGAGTTTGCTCCTCGCTGTGCTGATTTTATGAGAAAAAAAGACTAAGTGTGAGTTTAAAAAGTAAAGTTTAACACTCATTAAGCAGCCTAAGATTTTAATTTCTGCGGGAGATCTTCGACTACAGCTAGATAGGGTTCTTGGCAAAAAAAAATACTTACTTATGACATTCTTTTATATCATAACCCCCTTCTAATTTCATGCATGATAAGTTCAGAGTTCTTATACAGAATTAATTTCCTAATGTCTGGCCCGACGAAAATTCCTTCCTCCAGACTGAGGTCAGATGGTAGTTTTTTTCGCTGAAGTAATTTAAAGCAATTACTCCTTTTTGCTAATGTAGTTAGTAAACCGATTTTGATGTGCAGTTTTATGCGAAAGGAAAAGTAAAGGAATTTTCTCTTTGCCAACAAGGCCTTGGTGTAAAACGTTTTTGCTGATAGGCTACAAAAGTTTCGAAAATGAGGCATTGGGCCAACAATGCGTAGGAGTGACATCTTGCCCGTGGGCTAGCAATCGATAGGGCAGCTTAAATGCTGGTTTCGATCCTATGCAAATACTTTTAAAAAATAATAATTTAATTGTTTCCCTTATTATTATTATTCCCTGCTCATTATAACATTGTTTGCGTCATGCCAATGTCTCTTGCATTCCGTAGTCGATCCTGCCCAATCTCAAGTGTCGAAGTCAGAATTAAATCGACGCTGTGTCAGTGTTATATCAATGTCAATGAAATGCCGCTATCATCCTCGTGCATTGTCAATGAATTATGTCTGTGAATCTCTCCTCAAGCATTGTCTGTGCGTGTGACAAATACGCATTAATCCTCATACTCAGTATTGGATAATTACCAGCATTTTTGTTTTTCATAGTCCCGATCGTATGCTACTATTGATTTAACGCTATGTCGATGCTACACACTGTTGATCCTACGCACCGTCGATTTTATGCAGTGTTGACCCTGTGAACATAAGCCTAATTTTCTCCGTGGAGTACGTGTTTATCTTCCTGTTGGTAAACACTGGTAAACTAAACTCTACGTTGAATATCCTACTCACACATCATATATGAGTACGTAGCATAACGAGCCAAGAAGTATACACAATATTTTAAAGCTCCACGAGTTATCCATTCATAATTATTGCACTTTATATGCATAAGGGTTGGTTTCAAATGTTCATGGTTTTCTTGGAGATACGCGGAGTGGTTAAACATTCAAAAGCATTTTTATTCTCATTATCTAAATGAGTTGTTGCAAGTAAAAAATTAGACATGCATTTTAGAATTTGTAGTTTATAATATAACTGATACCCAAGTTTTAAACCACTTGTTTATATATTCAGCTTTATTCATCGTACCTTCTTTAGGTTTGCATCAAACTTAAAGAAGTTTGTTTTGAGTTTGTAAAAAATAGTAAAAAGAGAAATGATACAGGAGGATTAATACGATTTTCGAATTATTAAAAAGTATTATATCATCCCAAGAAGCAGAAGAGAAGTCTTCTGTCATAATTTCATAAGTGAATAATAAAAATATGTTCTTTCATTGATAAATCTAGCACTCATGGCAATCATCATAAGTATCAAGTAGTAAAAATACACGACAGTCATACTGTGCCACAGTACATGCATTCGAAGTTAATTTTCTTTCGTCTAATATATAATTTCTTAAATAAACAGAATATGAAATTTCATTCAGAAATTTAAAGTTAATATTGAAACATCAGTACCATTACTCCACATAAATAATAAACGCCTTTCCGTAGAGCTAAGCAATATAATTTTAATACATAATAAAAGAAAAAGGTAACATGATTTTATTTCAAAATAGCCACAAGAATATTTGCAATCTTAGATAAGAAAATGACTTTTTCCTCGAATTGTATTTAATAGACTAATATAATATCGGGTTTTAAGGAAAGTTTCCCGCCACCGCAAATACCATCTGCGCAAACAGTTCGCGTTGGCGTGTTTAATCATATTTTGTCAAACGATTTTTGGTATTTGAAAAAAAGAGAGGCTTTAGAACACTGTGTTGTGAAATCTGTGAAAAATATCGTTATCATTAAATAAAAGGTGTCTGAAATGGAATTGTCACACTACCAGATTAGAACCATCATTTACTTCCAGTTTTGTTGCAAACGGTCAGCTACAGAATGTCACCAAATCATGTATATAGTTTTAGGTACTAATGTTGTATCATACGACACTGTGAAGGTTTGGTACCGAAAAGTTCAAAAACAAAGATTATGATATTCAAGATACGGAGCGCTCTGACCGGCCTGCTGATGTTGATGAGGCCGGCCTGCGAGAACTGGTGGAAAAAGATAAGTATGTAAGCACTCGAGAGCTTGCTAAGGAGTTAGATGTTAGTGCCACATCCATTAGTCATGCTATGCATCGCATAAACTTGACGTATACTTTCAGTCGCTTAGTGCCGCAAGATCTGACTCAAGCAGATAAGGAGATATGTGCTCAGGCCTGCACTAATCTGCTCGAATATTCAATGCAAGAACAAAATTCTGGACTGGATAGTCACTTGTGATGAAAAGTGCATTTACTTCAACAACACAGGCTTTAAAGGGGGGTTGTCTGCGCCCGATGAGCCGGTCGGCAGCATCGTAAAGCACAGTTTGAATAACAAAAAGATCATGCTTTGTATCTGGTGGGATTGCCATGTTATAATCCACGAAGATTATCTGGAAAAAGGTAAAATCTTCGATAGTAAGGTAGCATATAGCAGCATCAACACGGATAGCGAGATGCTATCCGTGTTGATGCTGCTATCAAGGAAAAACGTTGAACTGAGTTCTGGCACAAAAAGGTAATGTTCCATCAAGATAACGCAAGACCACATGTGTCTGCATTCACCGGCTGGACTCTGTACGGACTCGAATGGGATCTTTTGCCACACCCACCATATAGCCCTGACATCGCTCCTTCGGACTTCTACCTTTTACCACACCTGCAGTGGCATCTTGCTGGCGCTATCTTCCATTCTGCACAGGACGTCCAAAATGAGGTCGATCTGTTTTTGGACTCACGGCTACCAAGCTTGAAAAACTGCCAAAACGTTGGCAGAAAATCATAGATTTGGGTGGTGATTACTACCCGCACTAAAGGTATGCTTTCATGTTTTTTTATAACTTTATTAAGAACGTTTTTTGGCGGGAAACGTTCGTTACAACCAGATATTTATAATAGTCCTTAAGCTTATTTTGAAAAGAGGAAAAAAACAAAGTTAAATTTGCTGAAAAAAAAAGTTAGATATATTTTTTTAACATTTGCACCATATAATTTTATTTTAGAAGGATTTATAGTAACAAAATGTTAACTGAAATTGAATTATTTTTTTGTGCGTCGGCAAAAGATAATTCTTGAATTTCTTCAAATCAAAGGACTGAATAATTTCTTTAAATATGGACATTTTCTGAATTTGATATATTCCTAGAATTAACTGAGTCTTGAACGAAGTCATCAAATTTCCTGCCTAATTTTCACGCCACGGAGAAAATTAGGCTTATGTTAGGCCTGGAAATAATGAAGCGTGTGATATTAGAACAGAATTCTGCTTTAATTTGAAAGGGCTGTAATTATAATCATATTATTTTTATTTTTATTAATGTTTAAGCGAAAACGTTATTGTCGTTTTATTTATATTTTAGTAGTTTTCTTCAAATTTCAGAAATAGTCATGTTATGTTTATGTTTTACTTTAAAATCGTTTTATCGCTGAAGTAAAAACTGAAATAAACTCTATGATTCATTCGTAGATTTTGGAAAACATATATAATGTCAATTTTTTTTCTTCCTTGCTTTAAAAAATTCTGATTCCGTTGAGCGAAGTTTCAGTAGTAATTTATTGTTGACCTGTCATTTGGTAAAAGATAAATAATCTATAAGGTATTTTTTGCCTCATTTCCGCATGCCTTCGTGGTGTAATTGAACACTTACTCGACGCATATTCGAGAGGTCCAGGTTCGAGTCCCGGTGAGGGCATCGCACATCTTTCTCGTCTCCTACTTTAAAAAACAAAACTAATGACTCTACAATTGACGCCCGAACTAAAAAAAAAGTGGTGGTCAATAATTCGTCACCACCAGTATTTAGCGATTGAGTCCCCTAATTCCAGTCACCCTTTAAAAGGGAAGTGTATAAGGTATTGTCTCCCTCTTTTCCGCATGTCTTCGTTGTGTAACCGGAAGAATACTAGACGCGTATATGACGTTCAGGGTCCGAGTCCTATAAAGCTTATTCGCCTTCAATAAACAATACATTGTAGCCACTTCAATAAAGTGGCTACAGTGAAAAAACATTCTTTTCGAATTTTGTTTTGGTGCAGATTGGAATGCCAAGTATTAGCTTCTATTTTAGATTTGTTTGTAATATTTCTATAAATCCTTCTTTAAACGCCGAGAATATTTACTGAAATTTAACTAACTGATTTAGAGCTAGAAGGGGCCAATACGCTTGCATTAAAAAATATTGGATTCAAAAATAACTGCCATTTTTATACAATATTCATACACAAGAACTTTTAACATATTTTTACTGGAAATCTACAGGTGAACAATCTTATGATCGTGAATGTCAAAACTGCTTGTGCATCAAAACTGGGATTAATTTTAGTAGGAAAATTTAGAGCATATTTAGAAACGATTTATTCTTTTCTTGTACTGAGCCAAACATGTTTTACGTAGTATAAGTATTAAAACAGGAATTTCTTGAATCATATTGCCTTAGTAACTAATAAACATTTTATAGTATACACTGCATTTTTTTAAAAAAACAGTTTTTCAAATTTTGAGATAACATGCATAACAAAATGCAAGATTTGTTATCTTTTAACACTGGTCCATTTATTTACTTATTTTTATTTTAGTTTGCGGTAGTAACGAGAGGGCTGAATTTAACAACAATTTGATTGATACATTTGAATCAGAATATAACCGAGTACCTCATACGACAACGACAAGTAAGTAAAGATTTTTCTGGTGTTTCAATATTTTTGCTGTTATAATTTGGATGTATACGTTTCCTTAATGAATGTATCCAAATTTCATTTTCTCCGAGTGTAAACAGAATTTTAGTAAGTTTCTTTCATACAATCTGAGACATATATGATACAGATTATTTATGTAGGTATACATGTGTATACAAATGTTTCATAAATACCGGAACAAACTTTTGAGGTAGCAAAACCTAAGGAATCAAATACTTTTCATCACAGAATACATATTCAATTCGGGCTTTTAAACGACGATGTCTTCACGTCGCAAAAGCTACGTAACGTCTTTACGTAGCTTTTGCGACGTAAAGACAGTAATAGCACAAAGATGAGAACACAGCTTTCTTTAAAACAAAATACTAGAAAACAAAACGTCAACAAATCCTTTTTATGACTAAATTAAATCAAATTTAAGCGCATTAATCATTAAATTACTACAGTCATATATGCTTCGGATTATCGTATTGCTTGTATGTTCTGCGAAGTCCCAGACATTCCTTAGGTATCTGTGACAACGACTGAAAGTCTAAAGATAAATTTCGATAGTAATCATTACGAATTTAAGTTGCCTCCATAAGAAAGAATGTAGAAGAGCAGATCTTATGAACGTGGGAGCCAAGTGATGGGTCTACCTTGCCAAATCCATTAGCCTGAAAATGTGGCATTCAAGTAATTACTCACCTGAGTACTGCAACAAGCTAGTACTCCGTCATGCTGGAATCCTATTACCCGTCTGCTGATACTACATATTTCAACAATATGTGGAGACACAGAAAATGTACTTTAGCACCCAAGCGCTTAAAGTACAGCCATGCATTCTACAAGATTTTACATGAAGATAAGTGTTCTTTCCCTCTTAAAGTTTATTACATTAACTCTGAAAAACAGTATATATATATATATAGACACTCCTTCATGTGTTTATATATAGTGCATATATATATTTGCACATACATTCATACACATACGTATCAGGTACTGAAGATAGCATTATTCACAAAAGCTGCATTCGAACATTTCGTAATTACGGATCGCGCTAACAGATCTTGTTAGCTTGTCGCAGCTATTTGCAGAGTTGCATCAATCTTGAGTATAGCGGTTTGTCCTCGGTGCTAAAACTGTATGGATTTTCTTGAGGTTTTTGCTATGTGCAACCAGGGCCGTTCCTAACGGGGGTGCAACGCGTAAAATTACCCGGGCGGCGAAAATCAGGGGCGGTTGGACTCTCGCGATACCAAGAATAAATATTTAAATTCATTAAATTCATTATAAGTACTTGCCATATCTAAGTACTTTTTACACAATTTATCATATGTCAGTACTTAGTGAGTATGAAATAAAAGTTTTATTAATCATTGAGCATTTTATTAAAATTTGGGAGCGGCAATCTTAGTATAGTACGCGGACAGCCAATAGCTTAGGGCCTGTGTGCAACCGCAAAAAAATGTAATAAAATTTTGTGTGTGTGTTGTTGTTGTTGAGGAAACTTACAGCTGAGAGTTTTATTATACCTCTTCAAGCCCAGAGTGATGTTTTGAGCAATCACAAGCGTAGAAGTAGATTTTCAGATTCAAAAATGGCCACTAGAAATGGCAGCATAGTCAATGGTGGCCAAACCTGTTGACTAGAAATGGCAACATAGTTAGTGGTGGCCAAAAATGTGACTAGAAATGAGGAAAACATTGAGAAACAGTAACAGGCGATTAATGAAGATCGTCGAAAGGTGTTCATCAGGTTTGTGAAGCATGTCAATCTGACAATTCTTGGGGAAGAATATCATAGTGTTTGTGTCTTATTCACGCAACTTACTAATTCTTTTTGCTCAGTGTTACTTATTTCAATTTCAACGGATAAATAAAGTTCTCAGAAAGCAAGTCAGCGAATGAAGAGAACAGTTCAGTTATGAGGACAAGGTGCAAGAAAATATGATGCGTGTCTTGGATAATATTTCATGTTATGAGATACAAAAACTGTTTCCTGCAGTGGGCAAAACGTTGGAAAAAGTATTTCGAAGCTGAGAATTAAGTAGGTAATTGTGAAGTACAATACAATTGCTTAAACAGTTTTCCTGCTGTTTCCAGATACCCTTTCGTACATATTATTTACTTATTATATAGGTTAAATACATTTATATATATGTGTGTGTGTGTGTGTGTAAGATAAAAAACAGCAAATATAAATTATAATTTTAATTAACAATTAGCCCCTTACTTCTACTTTTCAATTTGCGTACTTATCCTCTTTTTTCTGAAAGTAGTAATAAATTTTTCTAAACCACTTCACGGAAAAATTAACAGAATTTTATCGATTACACTGAGCAGAGCTCTTGGCCAGTCATCATTCAAAACTTAAACAAAACATTTCGATCGTGTATATAAGGCCCTGTTGAAATGCGCATCACTCCAATCCTGAGTATACTGGACAAATATGTTTTTTATGTTTCTGCGTTTGAATATTTTGTAAATAGCAAATTTTCGTGATTTTCGCATACTCATCTCAACAGCCGGTCAGAAGACTTCTGCTGAGATATATCTTTGACTGCTTCTGATGGACACCCTGCATATTTTTAACTTAAAATTACTTATTTATTTTTTGTATATAGTACTTCTAATTGTGAGAAAAATGCACTTTGATGATTTTACGCACTGAATATTGGTAAAAATGCACACTGTTCCAGAAACTTGGGAGCGTCTCTCCAGCCTACCAGATGCCTCTATAGCAGTGTTTCTTAACCTTTCTGGCACAATGAACCACTTTAAAAATTTTAAATATGTCACGGACCCCTCTGTGAAAAAACAATTGCTTAAACATCATTTATTACAAAATATATTCTGTTTTATTATTTAATTATTTTAATATTTTTATTTCAATAGTATAAAAAATTTGAAGAAATTAAAATTTTAATGTGAAGGCTGTTGCTGCTTTTCCTTGATTAACAGATTGAATTGAGGGATGGTTTTCGACAAAGCAACGCGCATATCATGTTCGACATTCAGTCTATTTCGATGTTTTGTTTTTATTGTGACAAGTGTGGAAAATCCCGCTTCGCAAAGATATACTGTAGCAAACGGAATAATGGCTGCCATAGCTCGTTTTACAAGCAATGGGTAGGCTTCTCTTAAAGAAGACCAAAACTCTCCAAGAGTTTTTGAATCGAAATCCATTTTTAACAAGGACTTTGTTTTCAAATCAATTAGCTCATCTTTGGCAAGGTTCATGTCATCGATACAGTCAATATCACAAAGAAAAGGATTACGAATCCACAACTCATCTTTTATATTTATTCCATCCGAATTGAAATATTTTTCAAATGAAACTTGAAGTACTTCCAGGTGTTCACAGATTTCATTTTTCAAGTTATTCAATAACAAACTATCTTTCCGAGATCCATTTTCAAAAAGCACTTCGTCCAACATTTGAAAGTTTGCATATATCCCATTTTGAATTCTAATTTTCCAAAGTGACATTTTCAATAAAAATGCCTGTAGTTTCTCAGTGGCATCCATAATTGTTGTATCAGGCCCTTGAATTGAAAGACATATATCGTTCATGTGGTTAAAAATGTCTGCCAGGTAAGCCAATTTACATATAAAATCTTTTTCCTTTTTGAAATACTCGAAGAGTGAGTTATCGGTTTCTTCTAAAAAAAGTGATACTTCTGTCTTTAACATGAAAATTCGTTTCAAAACCTGCCTTCGTGAGAGCCAGCGCACTTCCGTGTAGTACAGAAGTACCTCATGTTCTGCGTTCATTTCTTGACACAGTGTTTTAAAAAAGACGATGATTAAGAGCTCTACTTCTAATAAAATTCACAGTTTTAATAACTATTGACAATACTTCTTTTAAGCTGGTTGGAAGAGTTTTTGTAGCCAGTGCATGTCTATGTAAAAAACAATGTGTAACAATAACATTAGGAGCCTCTTTTTTTTACCAAATGGGCAAAACCAGATTTATTGCCAAGCATCGCAGGTGCTCCATCCGTACAAAGTGAATGAAGTTTTTGTTTCCAGTCGAAGTCGTGTTTGGAAAAGAAAACATTTAAAATCGCTAAAACATCAACTGCCTTTGTAGTTTGCAAAAGAGGCTCACAAAATAAGAATTCTTCTTTGATAGTATCAGCAGACACGTAACGAACAAAAACAAGAAGTTGACTACAATTCGAGATGTCTGTAGTTTCATCCAGTTGCATACTAAAGGGAAATGGCGATGCTTTCAATTCATCGATGATCTGTTTCAAGATATTGCAAGAAATTTCAACTATTCTTGAATGTATCACATCCTTGGACAATGGAATAGCCTCAAGTTTTTTTTCTCTGTTCCAGTCCACAAACTAATTCAACCATTTCCAGCGCACATGGCTTAATTAATGTCTCTCCAATAGTATGCGGTTTCTTACTTTTGGCAATACGATATGCAACTCTGAAAGATGCCTCAACCAAAGGTTTTTGTGAAATACCAAATCCAAGTTTGGTTAATGTTCCAGATTTCGAAAACTGGGCTTTCTTCTTTGTAAAAAATTCTAGATCTTTAGATGCATTTTCAGGATGAAGAGATTTGAGATGCTCTATCAATTTTGCCGGTTTCATACTGGCGTTTGCCAAAACTTTTCCACACAGAAAGCATTGTGGCTTTTCAACACCGTCCGATTCCTTCATGCAGCAGAATCCATATTTTACATAATTTTCATCATACTTCCTTTTTTTGGACATTTTGGGCTACAAAAAAAAAAAAAAAAAAAAAAAAAAAAAAAAAAAAAAAAAAAAATCAAATGAAAAAAGAACAAACATTAAGACAAAAAAACACTTGAAAAAAAATACTTTAATTACAACTTATGAAAAAGTAAAACAAATATTTTGTTTAAAAATTTGCAAGAACTTTGCGGAACTGATTTTTAACGTCACTTTATTTCCAAGTGAAGTAAAATTCAAAGGCTACTTTGTGTTTCTAAAAATTTCAAATTTTATATGGTTTGCGAATGTTCTTTTTCCTCGTATTGTGGAGGTCTCTATTATTGGGAAATGGCAGACAGACGGCTTACAGAGGTTGCCCTTGACAAAAAAAAAAAAAAAAAAAAATTTTTTTTTTTTTTTTTTTTAAATATTGATGCAAACATTTTAAAAATTAGGAGCAGTCAGCGGACCCCCAAAATATGACCCATGGACCCCCACAGGTTAAACACTGCTCTATAGCCTCACTTGACAAAGTAGTCACGCCTTCAAAGTAGACTTTGCATCTTGTCCTCCGGCCACACTCATGCATTTCATATACTTGCAGTGTCCTTAATAATTCAAGACAGTCGGTATACAGCTTGCTATCTGCAAGCTTCACACAGCAATAGCGTAAAAAGAAAAGGAAAAGCACATTACTTTTTCCAGGCTCGTTTGCTTTGCTAGTACCTATCTGATTCCTCGGCCATATTCCCATTATTTTAAAATATGATAAGTGTATGTAGAACTATAGGATGCTTGTCGCACGCAAAATAATGCGAAAATCAAAATATTTGTGCACAACAGCAACAAGAACTACATTTCTGTAAAACATCTCGTCTATGACTGCTAAGTAACTGGTTTCACCATCTACAAAATTATTACAAATAAAAGAGCGAGGAGGATGACACTAAAAGTATACGTGTATGCCTTTCCTACGTGTGCTTATGTATGTGCTTTTGAAATGTATCTAAAAATGCTTGCTCTTGAATTAATGAGGTTAAGGTCATCCATATATGATTCAAAAGAGTGTTGCGGAATAGTGAAGTGTGCAGGTTAGTTACCTACTTCAAATTTCCAACGTGTTTTTTCCATTGCTTCGTCAGCCTGAAATAATATTATGGAACGCATCAAAAATATCACCGAATGAATTAAAAATGTGATTTTTTTTTCAGCATTAAGAAAGGGGAAGTAATGCATCCTTGAAACAGTTGGTGTTTCAAAGTTAGTGCTTCCTTCGAAATTAATGCTGTTTAAAATTAGTAACGTTTAAATTTTTAGAGGAGCGAAAAGCAGATAATTTTTAATTCAGTAATTTTAATATTGTTTCATGCTTTATTTATGATATTTTTAATGTTGATTTTATATGGTTGAGTTAAGCAATTTATTGCTTTTTGGTAAAACTGTAAATGCAAACTGGATCCAAGATGATAAATATGCCCCATGAAAAATCCGAAATTGTGTCTACAGAAAAGAAATGTTTATCTGTTCAGTATTCACACAGGTATAACGTCCTACAAAAGATCTTCCAATAGACAGGTATAACGTTTTTTGGAAAAAGATGTACAAAAGGTATTTCTGTAAAAAGAAATATTGGCTTTGCTTCCAGATATTTTAATAGATGAGGCCTAATCTATTTATATTTGCGAATGTATTGAAACTGATAACTGGAATGTATTGAACAAAATTAAACGTACTTTTCTAATTTTGAACACATTACATGTGATGACTTTGTTTCAGTTACTTACAACAAATTTAAAGATTTGGAAAAGTATTTTCGTCGAAAGTTAAAGTTAGGTTCTGCATTTCATTTAAGTGATCAAATTCTGATTGAGTCTTTAACATAATGTTTGTCAAAATAACACCGTTATGTTCCATCATCGTATATTCACTGTCTATTCAAAATAAAAGCTCACTTCAAAATTGGATTTTCCTTCCAAGAAAGTTATTTCGTCTCAAGTACTAAGAAAGCACAGTAATGTGCCGAGATTTACTGTTTCTAGACAGAACCCGAGTACAAATTTTAATTATCCAAGATATAATGTGCTGCAAACCATTCTATCCTGGATCTTACGTACCTCAAAATCCCGTCTGGAGAAATATTCAGCCACCACTACTGAGATATCCAAATTAATAATACCTAGCGTTAAACTATAATCAACCTCCATCCTATCAAAATCAAACCTCACCTAAAAAATGGCAGTTCTTTTAAGTTAAATATCAAGGTAAGGGGATAATAACTTTCCTCCTATTATCGATACACATACTCAGGTTAATGTAATTTCTGAGAAAACTTGCACTGATAATTTTGAAACTCTCGAAAATGAAACTATAATAAAACTATTTTCTTTAGCGAGAGGTCTTCCTGTCACTAAATTAGTAAATTGTCGTGCAAAATTAGAAGAAAGAGGCCATTGCTAAATATAACTTTCGTATGAATTTCTAATGATTTCATTTTAATGAAAAGTTTGCCATCAGTTTGGCAAATGATAGCGCAGCTTTTAGCTACGCAAATTCGACGTTTCGTATTCTACGTGTACACCGCTCGGTTGCTAGGATAATTATTTGTTATTGAAACTGGTTACTATTGTTCCTTTATGGTAGATTTTTTTCTCAAATATTAAAATGGGCAATCAAGTTACTTCTTTCTCACAATTTAATAATTTATTTTTTTAAAAGCTATTCCCAGTGTATCGACATATTACTTCAACATTTGAAATTCCTTTTACAAATAATTTTAGAACTGAAATTTTTATATGATATAATTCTTTTATTTATCTGATTCTCTTTTATTTATCTTTATATGCTGTTAAATATTACGGAATTTTCATATCTTTTACTACAATTATGTTAATTAGTTAGGATAAAGAAACTTGTTGCCTAAGCATTTAAGATTTAATCCGTGAGATTCTAGGGAATAGACTTGGATTTTCCGTGGTGCTTTGATGATGTCTTGAACTAGTTGAAAATTATATTTATTATTTTGAAGTGCACGTATTGCAGATTGGCAATCATGAATAATATTTATGTAATGAAGGTTGTTTTCAGTTGAATAATTTATTGCTAATTTTATTGCTATTAGTTAAGCTTGGAAGGTGCTACTTTCCTTTGTTAAACGTGCTTTGAGTATTCTTTTTTCATTTGAATTTGTTAATATAACACATGTACTTCCAACTCCTGTTTCAATTTTTGAATCATCCGTATAAATTTTTGGATACATATAGTCTGTAGGAAGTGGTTTTATTGAGCAGTAGATTCTTGGGTTTATTGCCGGATGCTTGCTGTATCATTTTATTCAGGATTCGTATTTGAAAGGGTCGAGGAATTCTTCTAAGATTTTAAATGGTTTTCTTAATCTGAGAACTGTGCCTTTTGCATTTTCTGCCTGTGCTGTGATATATAGAGGCGGGATTTCGGCAAGTATGCAAAGGGCTGAATTGGAAGTAGTTCTAAAAGATTTTGCAATTCGAAGAAGAAATTATCGTTGAATTGCTTATAGTAGCTTTTGTTTCCTTATTAGTCACAGTACCGTTCATTTAAGTCGACAGATTGGTTTGAATAGCCAGCCCTATGGCGCGAGTAATCATACTTCTAAACTCTGCCAGCTGCTTATCTAAATACACGTATAGTACACTTACCCTTATGTCATTGGCGTCGAAATTGAAATCATTCGCATATCTCTTGCCATACTATATTCCTGCCGAGTTTCGTGATTGTGGCTCGATTTCTTCTGGTGTATATATTTATGACAGAGTGTATTTGCCTAAGGTTCTGTGTTGAAATCGAATAAACTTATTATCCGATTAAATGCAATGAATAAAATAACCATGTTCTTTCTATTAAACGACGTTATTTTTCATTTTTGCGCTGCAGTTCATTTTGTTAGCTTTAAATATAAGGTCGTTCAGGGACATCTCGACACCTTAAGGGAAAATTATAAATAACTGGTTGACATTTAAGGATTTTATCATTTATTTTTACAGAAAATAATTATTCCTGTACTAGTAACACTTTATGAAAATTTGGCTTACCTGAAAAACATCATAGGTCATATAAATGCAATGAAAAGCATAAAAGCCAGATGTCCACTTCTTCCTTAACTGCGGGAGATCTCGACAGGTATCTACGAGGCGGCAGGTACAAATCAGAACAATGGCTTTTTTTAAGAAATAAGGACAACGCACTATGGAAAAGAAAGATTGACAGCCTAAACACATATTAACAATGCAACAATATATATCCTCCCTTTTAACAATGTACATTTGTTGCATGTAAACTGGGGTTGATTCCCATTTTGTACACACGCTTCATGGAACCACGTACTACACTCTCCAACACATTTCACCCACTTCTGTCCGGCAGTATCATCAAAATAGTACCCACCACACTCGCCACAATAATTTTCACTGTCTTCGAGATCCCTCGAGGTACTGAGTTGAGTTCCTGTCTGACGTCTAGGTCCCTGTGTTGGTGTTTTACTGCGTAGTTAACTCCTGTATTCTGCGGATGTTATAGTGGTATAATGGCTGATTCTTGTTTTTTCTCCTATTCCGTACAGAGTGGTTCTGTATTACTGATACAGGGAATAATTCCAAAAATGATGTAGAAGCTGAAGCAGTAGATGGTGATGATGACATCTGGAGGTTATCGTCTTCCTCTACCATGGGATGGTGCCATTTGTAGTATACATGAGTTCATATTCAAACACATTGTCTTCCAAAATATCGGGATTGTATGGGTATATTCCACATTTTCGAAAGCCATTGGCAAAATTGCCTGACTTGACTGTCGAGATCTCATCGTAACCTACTGTCGAAATCTCCCCGAGTTACACATTTCTATGAAAAATGGCAGCATTCCCCTCTGACTGACTATGAAAACTTTTTGCGTAGACATCCATGTTCCTGAATGCCTGATCTCACTAGCCAGTCATTTAGAAGTTGCCAAAAATCGAAGCCATCGTCCACATTTATCATCGTTATCAAAGCCAATCTTATACTTTATGCATTGCAAACTATGAAGAACTCACCTGGAAGATTATTAATATTTATTTTCTTGATCAATCTCTGACTTTACAACACTTTCGATTCACAATTACGGACTACACTCTTAGGTTATTCCAATACAGTGGTTTCCATATGCGACACCAGGGTGCAGACCACTCTACTAAGGGACTTCCTTAAAAGTGTCGAGATGTCCCTGAATGACTATCTATATAATTTTTTTTTTCATTTCTGTGTTTTGGATTGTTATTGGTATTTCATATTTTGTGTTAGTAAGCTACATTATGCTTTTTGCAAGTGTCTACTCAAGCTTCACGTTAAAGTACGTGAACAAAAAATAAAAATGTCTCCTGTTCGATATTCTCTTCCCTTGCTCTATGAATAATGCATATCAAGGAAAAAAATTGCACACAGATAGGTGCACATCAATGCACCATAGATGTGCACATCATTATCCTGGTAAAAGGATGTTAATGATCTTCACTGATTTATCTTTGCAGCGATTGCTGTTGGTAACGATCCTTTGAGAGATACCCATGAGAAGGAAGTCGTGCAATGGAAATTTGATCAATTGGATGACAATGGGGATTCGTACTTGAAGAAGAAAGAACTCAGAGATCTGCGACGTATGACAAAGAGAATTGTCAAACCCAAAGTGTGTGCCAAAACTTTTGCCAAGTATTGTGATCTAGATCAGGATAAGAAGATTTCGCGGTCTGAATGGTCTGTCTGCGTAGGCGTTGATATCAACAGTAAGTGTTCGTATCTCTTTTAGTATTATTATTTAATATTTAATAAGTTGAATTGTCTGCATATTTAAATACATAATAATATTGCATGCTGGGTAAAAGCTTTTATTTTTGAGATTTCTGAAAGTCTGCTACCAATAACAAAAATATCACACACTTTGTTTTCAAGTAGAACAAACGTTATTAAATTTTTAATAATTATATAAGTAAATTATAGATCGTGAATCTTATATTTGAACGCAATATGAAGAATCTAGAATCGTAAATTCACAAATTGTTATCCCACGCATTATTTGTTATAACGTATATAGTGATGTTACTGCATAATATTCTCTTTGATTTTGTTTAACTGGCTCAATGTGGTTAACAAGGCGAGATAATTTATCGAATAATAGGTGTATCGAATAATAATTTTTATGTTTTTAGCTCTGAGAAATATTTCCGTTCGTACACTTTTCATACAATGTAGATGCTCAAAATTTATCATAAGATTTAGCTAAGTACCAAAATGTAATACACTATTATTTACTTAAAAACATTTATGTTCGTTCAGTAGAATTTCAGCTAATTTATCTGAGTAAATTATCGTGTTTGGATATAACGTAAACAAATTTTATTCCATTATGTTTACTTTCCTTATTTTCTTAAAAATTAGTTTCTTAACTCCATTCCATTCACGACTCTAAAATATTTATTCATTTAAAGTTTGTTTCGATGATAAAAAATAGATATTATGAAATTTCCAAATGAAGCAGCGATTTTAATATATTTAAAGTTTTAAATTTTAAAATATGAAAATGAAACAAAATCTTATGTTGAATCCATTTAGAAATGCACTTAAATGTTTTACATCGAGAGCAAATATGAACACATTGTTCAAAGGAATTTCGCCCTTACTGCTTTTTATTATGGAATAAATTATTCCGTGGTATTCAGGTTATATGCCGAACGAAATAAGCTGTAATGTCCCCTAATGAAAAGGTTAAAGAAATTATAAAATTTAGGCAATGTTGTTTTAGGATCATGGAAACGATGAGGAAATACTTCAGCTTGTTTGTCAAATTTTGATCAAATATTTACTCCATAACATGTAATAAAAATTCATTTGTTATTATACTTATCTGAAAGCAGTGGATTTTGGACCTGATTTATATCTGGTATCTCTGAACTGATAATTATTATGCCTTTGTGAATTTCTGGTTCAGTGATGTACAACTTGGTAATTAATCACTTTCTTCTATGCTGCATCTTGGCAGTTCTAAGTTTAATAGCTTTTCCTAACTGGCCATCACGAGCGTTGGAATCACTTTTGTTTGATGGTATCACTTTGCCGGAGATAGTCTCAAAGTGTCCAGTGTTCGGCTTGCCATTCTGATAGAAAGAGTGCATATTCATTTTCTTTTGGTCCCTCTATTCGATTTCTAACAATTTATCCGTATATGAAACACTTAAAATTACTGCAATCCATAAAGTGAAATATGATTTCATAAAATAGTAGTTGTAAAAAAGTTGAAAAAAAATCTGGTGTGTACACCACATGACTTCTTTGCACGAAATATTAAATTATACGCATTTGTTTCCATCATTTTAACTTATTTCCTCGAATTTCATTAGAGTTATATTTCTCAATTAATTCAGCTCTCATTTCGCGGCAAAGCGAAAATACGTAAAATTCAAATTATTTTCAAAAATTGAAAGATATAGAAAAACATAAATTACCGAATATAGCTAAAACAATTAAAACATAATTTTTGCAATTAAAATTATAGTTTCTACGCAAAACAAGCAATTCGGCAAGAAGGCAGGTTTTTCGGTGCACAAAACTAAAAGTTTCCTTTTGGTCAAAATCGGCAAAAAGACACTCAAGGTGCAGAAAGATTTCATTTACTATTCTGCTAAGTGTCAAATGTAAACAAATAGGGCATCTATAGTAAAACAAATTAGGCTTAGTCGCATTTAAACAACTTTTAAATTGTTGATAATTCTGCAACTATTGAATGCAGATTAACTAAAAGCATAAAAACCTTAACCGGGAGATAAGAACAACATAAGTCACTCATTTTTAAAGCAAAAAATAAACAATTTACCATCATATAAGAAAAAATGTCTGATCTGTACACCACATAACTTCCTTGTACGAAATATTAAATTATACGCATTTTTTCTTGCATTTTATTTAAACTTATTGAATTTAATTAAATCTACTTCGTCGATAGCGCATAAACCACAATAGAATTAATGCACTCTTTAAAATTCACTATATTTATTTATCATAGCGACATTCTGGCGCTAGGTTCACTTAACAACGTTACGTCTCATTTTATAACTCAGAATGCACAAAAATTATATCATCCGAAGAATTATCTAATTGCTGCCAAATGTTACATTTAAATACTATAATAAATTTAACGTGATGTATAAAAGAAATTGAACAAATAAAAAAGAAGCAGTTTTTCATAGACGATTCAGCGCTGCTTAGCTAATGCGCATGCGAAACTTGTAAACATTTTCCTCTGTCCCAGACAGGCTGGCGACAACAGTTGCTGCTAATACGAAACACTTTTACAAAATACAAAAGTTTCATTAGAGATATATTTCTCATTCAATTAATTCAGTTCTCACTTTTCGGCAAGGCAAAAATACATGATAACTCAAAATATCTTCATTAAAAATTGAAAGATATAGGAAACCATAAAACACGAAATAGAGTTAAAAACAATTAAAAAAAAACAATTTTTACAATTAGAGTTCCTGCGCAAAAACAAGCAATTCGGCCAGCAGACATAAAGGCAAATTTTTCGGCGCACAAAAATTAAGTTTCCTTTTGGTCCCACTCGGCAAAAAGACACTGAAGGCGCATAACTATTCTGCTAAGTTTCAAATGTAAACAAATATGGCTGCTATGGTAAGAAATATTAGGCTTAGCCGCATTTAAACAACTTTTAAGTCGTTGATAATTCTACAACTATCGCATGGAGATTAATAAAGGTATAAAAACCTTAACCGGAGATAAGAACAACATAATTCAGTCATTTTTAAAGCAAAATATGCACAATTTACCAACATATAAGAATAAAAAGACTGAGCTCACGGAGCCGGGTAACAGTGGGTATGTATATACTTTTGATGCGGCTGATTGCAACCAAAAAGGATGGTGCACAACTATGTTATAACAGCCCTATATACAAAATTTCAGTGTTTTGAGGCTACTCGTTTTTGAGTTATGCGAGATACATACATAAATACGTATGTACAGACGCTACGAAAAGGTTTCTTCTGAATCCATTTTAAATCAGTTTTATAATTCGTTTGGGGGGAAAAGAGTCCTTTATTCTGTCCTTACGTACATATGTTACGCAAAAACACCGTCAAATTGCATTCGATAGTGGTCAAAATGGATATTGTCGTTGAAATACGGTATCCGGAATTTTTCATGATTACAATACTTCCTTTACTTCGCCCAAGGAACTAAAGAGATTCTTTGTAGTTTAGCATTTAAAACAGATTTATTGTATACCGATTATAAATTAGATCTTTGTTTTACTTTAAATTAATTTTAATAATCCTGTTTGAGACTACGTTTCGCATAGCAGTTAATTCTATTCATAATTCTATTCATATTGATTTAATTGTTCAAAGAAAGAGGAAGAATATCTGATTATTTTGTTTGCGGCTGAAAGTATGGATGTACTTATACACTACGGAAGAATGCATTTTAACTGCTTACTTTGCGATTTACAGATTAACAATTCGTAAGTCAGCCGACTCATAAAGATCCACTCTGCTAGGATTGGATTGCATCCAAATCTCACAGTATTACATGAGCTGCAAGTTCAAGCAAAATCTCCATGTGGCGATTTCCATACGATGAATTATAGTACACTCCCTGCCGTTTTAACCTTTTAAGTACTAAAATGGATACAATCTATGTAAATCATAGTAGTGTACGATTGTACAGTTTTAAAATGCTTATGTACTTTTAACAGAAATTACAATACTTTCAGGATGTGTTTACAAAAAGTGATGTTTTTGGATTAAACATGAAGAGAAATTCTATCGTGGTAAGAACATAAAGAAAACAGCATATTGAATCTTTGAGAAGGCAAAGCTATTTAACTAATTCATTGCATTTCGGAAAAAATAGAATGTTATGAAAAACAAGGTTTTGTTGTTTACTAAAAAATTCAGGAGAATGCAGCTATTAAACGTGGAAAACAAACTTCTGAGGTATACAGATAAAACCCGGCAGAACACAAAACAAACACTAGTAAGGCGTGCGATAGATTATTACAGCTGTGCATGGGATCCGAGGAAAAGTGTAATAAAGTTATCTCATGTATTCTAGTGGTTAGAAGAAATAAAATACCACAGGAATGGTTGCGGTACATCTTTTCGAAGAGGTGGTGTGAGGCTTCAGAGTCCCTTAGTGGTCTTTCAGTGTTGCGCATGATGTAGCTGTCAGTGAGTATTCAATTCGTCGACTAATTGATACCAGTATAAATGGCATGGCATTGTTAAATTATGGACTGTCTGACATATTCTATATTGGTGTCTCGACGCTAGACATTTTCTGAATTTGTCGAAGACGCTGAATGAGTTACTTTGGACTCAGTTAGTTTCTTTCTTCATTCCTTCCTTAAAGGATTTCTGGACACAATTGCTTTCACATGCTGAATACAACGCTAAGCGTCTTTGAATGCTGTCGAAGACTAACTGAATGCGCGCAGTAAGTTCCTCTGCAATGTTCAAGGACTGCTAATACACAAATAGTTTCATAAATCAATAAGCTTGAAATCTGGCGATGTACAGACTCCGGGTATAAATTACGGGTGGTTTTTTAATCCGGCCAAGTGACGTCAGAGGATTTTGAAATCTCAAGTCTCCTAAACAAAACAGAGTACTGAAATCATTCCAAAGCATATTGTTCCTTTTAGCCTCTTGAATGCGCCGTGTAACGTTACAGACTTTTAGGACAGTCTAAAATCTTTATAATGATTTTCAGGTCGTTT